ATCGAGGTGAGGTTATCTAGGTATCCGGCGCCTTCTTCTCTGGGGCTTGTTCGATTCGTGCATTGACATGGATGGCAATAGTGTCTGTCTGTCTGTCTGTCTATCTATCTGTACCGTAACCTACCTAATGTTTATGTATGTATATATGTACTCGGGCCAAAATAATACCTACCTGCCTACTTACCTAGGTAGGTAGGTAAGTACCTCCTTATTTACCACGGAGGAGTAAGGTGAATGAATACAGAGAGGGAGTCTCGAGAAGGGATGAATAAATGCATGGTTACGACTCAGTGATCAATCGGTCGGTCGATTCATCGGAGCAACAGTTAATTGATCCTGGTTACACAAGATCGACGACTACCTACCATACCAATCTTGATCTTACTTCATGTATACTTGTATATATATACATATATACTTAAGTAGTCAGTATAAATCAACAGCGAACAAAAAGAAAAAAAAGAACAAAAGAAAAGAAATCTAACATATTCTTGGTAAAGTCAACCGGATGGTGAGCAGTGTAGTCGTGAGTATGCAATTCGATTAAAAACTATCCGTGATAACCCCCCCCCCCCCCCCCAGATCTCATTTTGCCCATGTCGTCCGCTCATAAATACATGTGTTGCGAAGGGTAGCCGTAGTCATAGCCATAGCAACACGGCTCTCAGGATCGGGTGTGAAACCATGCCTCTTAGGAATACCATCACCATAGCCATGTCTATCTACCCCCTATCTAGTTAATATCGAACAGGGACTTAAGCTTGATGATAAGCGCCCACTCGTCGTTCGTGACCTCTTTCCTGTAGAATTCCTTGAGACAGTCGATGCTGGCACGCGAGATCAAGCTGTACAGCATATCAGACTCCTCGAGTTGTCGGCCGTACGTCGGCTGGTGGCCGCCCATCTCGATCTTGACCGCCACTGACGGCTGTCCCTTCTTGCAGATTGGGATTTGCTTGTGATCTCTTTCAATCGATGATCTGTCCATAGCTTGTCAGTTCCAGAGGAGAAAAGGGGGGGGGAGTTATCTTGCGTCATGGGATGATAGAAACTTACACTCGGCCCATGCTAACAACCTCCTTACCGCCCGTGGGGTTCTGTCTCACGGCAGCTATGGGTGTGCCGACCCGGAGGTTACCATCTACCACATCAACACCTACGACAATGGGGTTGGTCTTGTTGAAAACCGCCACGGTGTTGAGGACGCAGGGGAACACGGCGAGCAGCTTCGATTCCTCCTTCTTCTTCTCGAGTTGATCCTCCATATGCTTTGTGAATGAGTCAAACAGATGGTAAATGATGTCGGCAGTGAAAATCTTGATTCCGTTCTCCTCGGCGTAGGCCTGAGCTTCCTTGTCCACCTTGACGTCGAAACAGAGCATGACGGCGTAGTCAGGGCTCTTTTCCAGCATCGTACCGCACTGCATCACGTCACGCTTGAACACAGGGCCGATACCAACGTTGGCTACGGGAATCTTGCAATCCTTCAAGAAATCGAGAAGGGCTTCGAGTGAACCAAGGGTTGATGCTTGCACACTGACACCTCGTCCCGATGTAGACACACGACTAAACAGTTTGTTTAAATCTGCTTCAACTTCTTCTTCCAAATCTTCTTCGTCATCATCAGGTCCGACCACGAGCAATCGAGAACCAGCAATGGCGCCTTCGAGCCCAGGTGCACTAATCTTGACACCCATAGCTGCCTTCACCTCCTTGTTGTGTACATATTGTGATTTGACACGCAACTCTTTCATGACTGCCGGAGTAAGCAGTGCTCGAATGTTCGTAGTGATAGCTCCTTCAACGCCACACACTACTATTCGATCGCCTTCTCGAAGAATACCGTTGGACAGGATGACATCGATAGTCATACCAAAACCTTCGATTGCCTTGACCTCGAGAACGGTAGCTTGCACCTCCGAGAGATACATGAGTGAACCAACCATTCTTTCTTGAGTCAACTGTACAATGAGCTTTAACATATCCGGGATACCCTCTCCTGTGTGAGCGGAGGTTGGAACCAATGAAACATATCGGGCCATGGACTTGTTCTCGTGGAAAAGCTCAGCATTGAAACCTTGTTCGGAAAAGGCGAGTTTGGTCTGCTCCAATCGGTTCTTGAATTCGTTCTGTACACCTCGACTCTGAAGAGCCAAACTCTCCTGAAACCCATTGTTGTCGACCTTCTTCCAACCGTACAAACGATCAATCTTGTTGAGTGCGACAATGAAGGGCGTCTTCCGGTCACGGAGCAGCTTCATCGATTCAAGGGTCTGGGGTTCAAGACCGTGCATGATATCGACGACTAGAATGGCAATGTTGCAAAGTGAGGAACCTCTAGAACGCAAGTTGGAGAAAGACTCGTGACCAGGTGTGTCGATAATCAAGAGACCGGGAACCTTGAGCTCGAACTTTCCGTCCTGGTTTACAACGGCAGTCTTCTGCTTGATAGCCTCACCTAGTAGAAGAATATTAGTTGGCGACCCTTAACCGTAGGAAGGGGTTGCGACAAACCTGGGAAATATGTAGCACCAATCTGCTGTGTGATACCACCCGCTTCTCCTTCTTGGACATTTGTTTGCCGAATCTTGTCCAGTAGTTTTGTCTTTCCTGTATCGACGTGACCCAAGATACAGCAGATAGGGCTGCGAAGGTTTTCCTTGGATCTCGCGGCCAGGGCAGCTTGGTGAGCTTTCTCTCTCCGTTCGGCAGCCTCTTTCTTGCGCTGGGCCACGGCAGCTCGAGCAGCTGTTCGCTCTTCATCTTCAGACGAAGAATCGTCTGATTCTGATTCGGACTCGGACCCGGATTCCTTGGCCTTACGTCGTGAGGATAATGCCTTGGTGGACTCCTTTGCAGCAGCTTTCTTTTCGGCCTCTTCATCTGAATCGGCGTCCCAGCTGTCCTTCACATCATCTCCCGAAGCGGCGGCTGCCTCCCAATCGTCCTCGATCTGCTCCTCTGCCTGAGCCTTCTTGGCAGCTTCTTGAGCAGCTGCTTGCGCTGCTGCTTCTGCGGCGGCCTTGGCTTCAGCATCCTTGACTGCAGCTTCGGCTTGTATTCTCGCCCGCTCGGCAGCTTCGGCTAGGGCTTTCTCTTCATCCACCTTCAAAGGATTAGTAAAGCAACTCTTAACCAAGTCATAGGAATGGGAGATAACCTTTTGTTCATTCTTCTTGCCCCGTTTCTTGCTGTCGTAGGTAACCTTTTTCTTCTTGTCCTCACCGTCTTCCGAAGGCCCAACCTGGAGGCCAGCATTAATCATTTGCTGCAGCTTCCTCTCATTGCGGGCCTTCTCTTCCTTCTGAGCCTTGGTAAGATACTTCCCTTCTTTCTTAAGCTGCTCAATCCTCTCCTTTTCTTTCTGCTTTTTACGAGCCCTCTCTTCTTCCTTTCGTTTAGCTTCTTCGGCTTCCTGTTTCTCTAACTCTGCAAGGCGAGCTTTCTCATTTTCGGCAGCTTTTTCGGCTACTTCACGTTGCCGCCGTAATTCCTCCTGTTGCTTCTGAATGGCGGCCAAATGTGCTGGAAGCTTTTTGCCTTTCTTCCCTGAGGCCTCTGCGGCCGGGGCCGGGGCCGGGGCCTCTTTCTTCTCTTCAACAGCGGCCTTGACGGGTTCTGGAGCTTTCACAGCTGGTGCGGGCGCGGGTGCGGGTGCGGGTGCTGTTGTTTTCTTTTTCGCGGCCTAGACAAGATAGCAAACGTTAGAATTCGAAGACAATCGAGATGTGTGCTAGCACCAACCTGCTCCTTTTTCCTTTGCTTCTCCCTCTCTTTCCTCAACTTTTCCTTCTCGGCCTTGGTGAGCATCCTGCCCGAGTCGTCAACATCATCTCCATCGGCAGCAGCGGCAGGAGTTTTGGCAGCAGGTTGGTTCTTGTTCTGCTTCCCTCCTTTCCCCTTCTTCTCCGGTAGCGCAAACTCGTCCTCAGCCGTCGCTTCTTGGGGCGCCTGGAAGGAGGTTATGTCGGTGGGCTCTGTGGCAGTGGGTTCAGGGGATTCGCCGTCGACGAAATTCTCGGACAAGCCCTTCTTCTTGCGCCTCTCCATAGCCTTCTTCCTGAAGGCCATGAGGCCGCCGACGGGCGCATCGCCCTCCTCTGCCTGTTCTCCCTCAGCGTCGGCGGCGGTAGCGGGAGCGGCATCGCCATTAGTCGGTGCAATGCTCTCACCAAGGTCGGCTTCCCAGTCGTCAGCTGCCTTCTTTCCTCCCTTCTTTTTCGGCGGCATCGTGACGGCTTGCTGGATTCGTAGCTAGACGGTGTTGGGGGCAATGCAGAACCCTACTGCGTAGCAAAGTGTCGTAGAATTGAATGAACGTGAGACGAGCGTGTCTTCGGTCGTGTCGTCGTGTTGGCGGCCGTCTACAAGTCACCTAGCAAAAGAGACTAGACAAGGCGAGACGGGGTGGCGGGTGCAATGTTTGACGACCGGAGAGAGGATGATTAAGGACAGGTCGGAGGCACAGGTGATGTGTTTTCTAGAGTCATGTCCCAGAAACCCCCGGAGACATGGCCTGCTCTTTCTTACGCTTGTCTCCGAACACAAAAGAGACGAGGCCGCACACAAGGAAAGAAAAATCTCCAGTCTCTAGCGCTCTCACTGGATGGCGAGAAGGTGAGAGAGGGTCTACGGTGTACAGTGGCAGGAGTTGGTAGTGGTGTCGGTCGATGTGGGAGACTTACAGGCAGGTGGCCGAGTGATGACACTGCGGGGAGTTGCACATTCCAGTGGATAAATTAAATTTGTGAAATGCACGCGGACATCCATCCCGAACATCAAAGTCCGAGCTACCGGGCACCGATAAGGACTTAAGCGAGCGAGCGGACTTCTTATCACACTTATCGATAGAGTATATAATGGGGACTACAACAGGTAGGCTAAACAAAAGAGAATACTTGTAAGAAAATATTTCTCTCAAGAGGAAGAGGGGGAAAAAAAAAGACTAGCTCACTAGCTTTTCTTATTAGAAGATAGTTATGGCCAACAAAAAATAGTATCTCCGAATCGGGGAATCGAACCCCGGGCTTGACGGCACTTCCCCTAACCTACACCATTCACTGGACAGGCTACGATGAGAGCGTCAAATGTTGGCCACTACACCAATTCGGAGGGGGAACAATGAAATTTTCGACCTCGGCCGGACTCGAACCGACAATCTCTAGAGAATCTGCTGATGGAGCACCGAAATCTAGCGCCCTAGCCATTAGGCCACGAGGCCCCATCGTGTGATGAGATGATTGGGATAGGGTTTCGTTGGCAGTCTCTATCAGTGGGGGTGGGAAGGGAGGGAGAGAGGGGTGAAGAGGAGGAGGTCTGGATAAGGCGGGGCTGGTTTGCTACATGCTGGTTCGCGGTCGCTAAGGTATGTACCTAGACATGCCTAGTCGGGTGGATATAATTATGTGGCAAGATTCTCGTGGTCTGTGTAGACAGCCTGTTGTTTGTTGGTGATTGGTTCCCGGAATGGCAGATCTGCCGAGACGATGAAGTAAGACATTGAGAAAACAGCCGTGCAACAGTGATGCCCCTACTGTCTTACGAGCTTATAATGTGTTTATTGTTTACTATCTAGACAGCAAACCGTGGTAAATAACAACTACTCTGTGTTTGTGGGTTGATCCTGTTACCGTCACCGCCCGCGAGCCCTGCAAATAAGTACCAAGACTAGTGCACAGATGTTAGGTTAGATAGGTATCCCTGGCCAGAACCACACCCAGACAGAGCAGCTTCGCTTAGCATCTCACTTTTCAATGTGCGAAATATCGCGCGAAAGAAAATATCATAGTTATGAACATACCCGTATCCGGATAAGGTCTATCTCGAGTCTGCAGCCGGCCTCGTGTACTAATTGAGCGGCCGTAGTCTATCTCTAACACCGCAATATCCGGTCGGGATCAGGACAGAAATCTTCCCAAGCCATCGTTGAAACATCCAGTGCCGGTCCCACTCCATTGCAGTCATTACTTTTAAATACTCTTCGTCTCACGCCCATGTATCACTACTCCGCTTAACCCGCTTGGGAGAGCGATACTCCTAGGACTGAGGCTCTTCGGCCTCCTTGGTGGCATCGGCGTCTGTCATCTCCTCATCTTTGTTGCCCTCGGTCTTCTCCGGCTCGGCTACTTTACGGACTTCTTCCTCGGCTGCCTTCTTCGCTGCCGCTTCGGCGTCAAGTCTGGCCTGCAAAGCTTGGCGATCGGCCTCTACCTTGTCGAAGTACCTCTGGGTGATGGGACCGGCCAGAGCACGGATCTCATCTATCTTGGCGATGTAGACAGCCTTTGTCGTGTCCTCGCCCTCCTCATACAGCCAATCCTAATAAAAGTCAGCCGCACCCCATGAGTAAGATGGGGAATGCGAAGAACTTACCTCGGTTTCGGTGAGTTTAGACCTCAGGGCGTCCTTCTCTTCGTCACTGGCGAAATCGGCATACTGATCGTCTAGTTTGTTACGCATGTCATAAATATAAGTCTCGAGCTCGTTCTTCTTCTCTTCTGTGTCGGCCACTAGTTTATCTTCCATGATCATAGCCACCTCTTTCTCGAAAAGACTGGTCTTGGTGTTTGAATCGAGAGAGGTAGTTGCAGAAACAATTGGTAGATCGCCCTTGCGAACTTGTTTCTTAACCTTTCGTGTCTTGGACTTTCCATCCTCCTTCTTGTCGTCTGTATCCATGGCCTAAAGGGAAAACAAGTTAGTTAGAGGGACATTATCGCCGCCAAAGTTGCAGCCCGCCAATCTGTCTAGCGGAAATGATCAAAAGGCAAAACTCACATCAGGGTCTTTCTTCTCGCCATCGTCCTTCTTGTCGTCCTTGACTTCTTCCTCGACATCTTGGTCTTCGACGTAGTAACCGCTTTCTACATTCAAAATACCATGGATGTTAACCCTTGCCTTCAGCTTGCAGATCATGAATTCCGTCTTGGGATCTGCCTTGACTCCCTTGACGGAGAAACGACCGATGAAGGGAGACACCTTGCCGGGGATGTCCTCGGGATTCGAGTATCGCGCCTCTAGGTCGAAAGGCTGTTTTCGGTAAAAGGTTAGGATTTTAGTGGACGGCAGAACATTGCCCCTGCCAAAGACAGTCAAACTCGTATCTTCATCGGGGATATCCACGTCTTTCTCCCAGGAAAATTCAATCGGGTAGTGGACGATATCCGCAACGGAGAAATCGCGGACCTTGAAGACAGGCGACAGGATAGCGCAGGCAAAGGCGCAACCCCGAGCGATGGCCTCATCCTGGTTGAGAGTGAACGACAGCCCTTTGCCAAAGAAGGCCTGGATTTTCTCCTTGATAGATGGCATACGAGTGCTGCCACCGACCAGCTCAATGAAATCGATGTCATCCTTGGTCAGTTCAGCATCGGCAAGGGCCTGCTCTAACGGTGCCGTGACCTTATTCAAGAGCGGCTCAACGAGGGCCTCGAATTCTTGCCGCGTCATCATAGCGTTAACATCGATATCGTTCATGAGAGACTCGATGTTTAAGGGAGCTTGTTGGTTGGCGGACAGAATCTTCTTCATCTTCTCGGCACCAGCCTCGACACGAGCCAAAGCCTTGGGGTTAGTCGCAATGTCGATACGATACTTGCCCTTGAACTCCTTCTGGAAGTGGTTGACCAAGGCCAAGTTGAAATCGCGACCACCGAAGTGGCGGTCGAAGGCAGTAGATTTGACTGTCAGCTCGCCCTTCTTGAACTCGACGATGGAGCATGAGTAGTTGCTATGACCGATATCAATGAAGCAGACACGGCGCGGCTTCTCGTCTTCGGCAGGTAGATCCAACTTTGTGATACCGTAGCCCAGGGCAGCTGCGGTGGTGTCATTCATGATCCGAAGCGGCTTGAGACCGGCGATCTCGGCAGCATCAAGAATGCTTCGGCGCTGGATGTCGGTGAACCACGGTGGCACGCTCATGACAACATCAGCCACCGGCAGCTTCAGCTCGGCAGCAGCGGTCGACTTGATCTTGCTTAGGAACATGGCAACAAGCTGCGTGGCCGTGAACTTCTCTTTCTTGCCCTGGTACGAGACCTCGGCGCCAACCTGGCCATTGCAGTCTACGAGAGCAGCCGAGACATACTGCTGCTCGATCTGGACATCGGGGTCTTTGAGGGCGCGTCCAGCAAGACGCTTTAGGGAAGAGACGGTGTTCTTGAGGTTGGAGATTTCTTGCGTCTTCGCCGGCTCGCCTAGGTAGCGGGCTCTGGGGCCGAATCCGACGAGGGAACTAAGAGCCGGCGTTAGCGGAAAGGAGCCATCGCCAGCCAGGCGGGGTAACACTCACGGCGTTGCACGGTTGGAGACTTCATTGGTGATCTAATCAATAAGTGCCCAGTCAGCCTTACAGCCAGGCTACAACAGTACAAAACGGATGGGTGGAGAATGAAAGGCATTACGCACAACATCGACACCTCGGTTTCTCGCAACAGCAATAACCGTGTTGAGCGTTCCGAAATCAACACCTGAAGGACGCCGGCGTCAGTAGACAGAAGACAAGCAGGGGCACAGGGGTGTCCGGGCGAGGAGACATACCAACGACGCTCATCTTGTTTGGATGGACGTAACAAGTGGGAGAGGGTTGGTTGCACGGAATTCAGCTGGGATCGGAGTGGGAGGGGAGGAGGGGGGAGGCTCGAGAGGCTCGAAAAAGATATCGGCAATCACAAACAGAGCAAGTCGAACAGAGGCCGGACTCGGGCGGTGAGGGAAAGTCGGGAGGGCGGGGGAGTCGATGTCCAGTCGTCTGTCTGCAGTCGATACTGTACTTCGGACGTTTCGTTGAGCACAACAGGGTAGAAGAGCGAGTCTCTGAAATAAGGTGCAAGAAAAAAAAAAGGCTGCCCAAATGCGCACTGTACCTATACTAAGACTACCTAATAAGGTGGGAGAAGGAGGGACAAACAGACCAGTCTGTGGTCGAATTATGTAGTCTAGCCTCACCCGGCTTACCCCTCTTTAGCCACACGCCCCCTGGCGGGGCGTGCTATGGAATAATTGCTATGGTGCGAAACTTCTAGAGACTTCAGGTACCAGCCAGAAAATCCAAAACATTCTAACGCATGCGGACCGCTGTAGCTGATCATTGGTCCCAGTCCCAGTATCGGCTATTGGTCCGACCAGTAACAGAGTCGCAACCATGGCCAGCCTTGTCCCATCAACCCCATAAACCCATACATCAGGTAGTCCCCATGCAATATGGTGTGTCGCCATGTTGTACGTGACTCTCTACTATCTGCCTACCACACTTGTAACGTTTATAGAGAAAAAAAGGATGTTCATTGCACTTTTCTGTTTGTTTTTTTTCTCGTCCGTCCTCAACAGCCGTCTCAACAATGACAACTAGGAGCACCCCCCTTATCACCCCGCCTTCAGCTGTTATCGCTGCTTATCAGTCACTACGTATCGCTTTTTAAATCGCTTTTTAACACGGATGGTGGGGTCACACGGGAGGTACTGTCTGTAAATTTCCTCCCTCCTGACCGCCCCGCCATCAAGCAAAAATAGATCAGCGCAGTGGCTCCCACGTAGAAGGTTAGGTATCAAGGCACATAGATACCTGCTTAAGAAGGTACATCGGAAATACATATTGCTTCGGCTAGATGAATCTCAAGTTTCCTATTGATGTTTTTAAGGTATTTTCAAAAAAAAAAACACCCGCGACATTTTTTTCGTTCACATAAGAGTTTTGCGCCGAAACAACAGTACAAGTGGCCACGAAGTAGGTAGCCGGCGTCACAGCTACTAGTAAAATAGGGAATGACGCCATACCCCAGATGAAGATGCGACACAAGCAAAACTCGTCACCAGTTGTATTCATCATTCAGCTTTAATTGCTAGGCGATACAGAGAGAAATGGAAGGTTATAGAGCGATGCCACGAGACCATCAATCACACGCATAGGTAACTGACAGCTGATAAAAACAAGTTATCATCTCCAATTCCTTGTTATACCCGTCTTCACACCAAGTGCACATGGTTACGACCGGGTCATATTATCTGGACTGTTCTTGTTTGAGCAGGTTTATAGATTTCCTTTTTTTTCTCTCTTAGTCGACTACATGCTTCTTATCTGCCCATGATGGCTCAATTCCGCGGCACACAGC